ACTGTGAATGAGGGTATAGGGATGAGCGTAAAGGGAAACTCACATGCATGGTGGTAGAACGACCAAGGGTAAGGAGCAGAGAGAGTTACAGCCAGCAAGGGGCATGAAAGGCAACAAAAGAAGTTCCAGAAATACAGTGGAATTGTAACGAAGAGAAAAAAAGATTCAGCATTTTTCCATCTTGTGATGGAAAAAAGAACAAAAGTGATTATACAGAGATGTAAACAGTGACTTCCTCAGTATGGTTGCAGAGTAAAAGGCTGTAACCCATGCCTGGAGCAATCTCCAACAGCCAGAGGGTGAGACTGAGTCAGTGTCTGGAAGGAAGCAGGGACAGGAGGCTGAGGTAAACTCAATGCATATGAGTAGAAAGGGGCCAAGAAAAATCATCCTGGAAAATGTAAGCAATCTTTGAACAGTTAGCAGCAGTTTGTGACATATTTCGAAGGCTTAGAGGATACTGGGGAAGTGCAAAAGTTTATTTATGAAAAATAAAAATAAATAAAGGAAATTAAGAGTTTGGGGAGTTACAGATCAGCCAGACTGGCTTCAGTTACCTGAAAGATTTTGGAACAAATTATTGAAAAATTCATTTGTAAACACCTAGAGGAAAATAATCTAAAAAATAAAGGATAAAAACAAGACAACACAGTTTTACCGGGAACAAATGATGTCAGGGTGATCTAATTTCCCTTCCTGCCAGGGTGTTTGGTCTAGTGAAGGAAGAAGAAACAGTGGATGTGATATGTGTTAGGCAAATCCTCTGGTGCTCTCCTGTGCAGCATTCTCATAAAGAGGCAAGAAAGTACAATCTGAGTGAAAATGTGGGAGAGGAGTAAAACTGAGAGCAAACAAATGCTCAAAGCAAAGCAAGTGGGCTGAGAGCTGGGGATGAGACGGCTGGCAGGTCTCTCCAGGGTGGGCTGGACACCTTTTTTTCCTATAGCACAGCTGGTGGGCATGTCAAAATGCAGAGGTGACACCTTTGTGGATCCCCAAAGTCACTAGGGACCCCCAACCCCTGACAGACACTCAGTGGTGCCAAGTTTCCCTTGGAAAAGAGGGTAAGAACTTCTTCAAAACATCTGCAAGCTAAAGCAATTCCTCTTAACTGAACATTTCAGATGATGTGAAATGCATGGCTGTGATTAAAGCCCTATTAAATATATATATACATATTCAGATGAAATAAATCTATTATTATTACTTAATTACGGCTCATGCACTAGATTAAAAATTCAGTTCTTCCTCCAATCCCACTCTGAAGCCTCCTGGCTTTTAAGCAGTGACCAGCAGCAGCTTCAGCTCTGTCTGCCAGCTCAGGCCCAGGGCTGTGAGTCAATGTTGGTGCTGTGATCCCTAGGCAGCTGCAATGAGGGGTGATGCTGCATAATGGATCTTCCAGTTTAAACTAGTCCAGCACAAACCAACAGGAACCATCCACCACCCAGAGAGCAGAAGCATAAGTTCCAGCCCCACCTCTCCATCAGGGCAGACGGTTACTGAAGCTCCAAATGCTCCTTTCTGGGCAGCCCCAACCAAAAAGTGTTTGAATCCATCTTGTGACCTTTTCTTCCCTCTTTTCTCTGCCAAGACCTGAGAAAATGCCCCGTTTTCACAATAAAATAGTGCAGAAAACCAAAATGACACAATCTTGTAGTTCGCCATCGAGTAACAGACTCTTGCCCTGAAGAGGTTTGGCAGTTTGAACCGGGAGTAAGGTGTGATGCTGCAATGTTTCTTTGGATGGAAAAAAAAGGAAAGAAAAAAGGATGGCTTTTATTTTTAGAAGTTTCAGCTGTCAAATTTTTGTCAGGTTGACTGTGCTCTGCTGAGCAACATACAGTGCTGGGCACAGCCAAGAAGACTTCTTGCAGAGAGCAAAATATTATAATAAAATCAGGTTTTATCAGAATCCCAGCACCCTTCATGGAAAAAAAAATGCAAAATTGTGGACAAATTGTGTATTGTTTATCATCTTTTTTTGTTACCATGATACATTTATGGCTGAAGAAATATGGCACTGGGCCTGGGCCTGAACTGCTGTTTTCTGCTGGAACATGCCACATTTCCCTTTGATGTCCTCTGGTGATGCTGGACAGGTAAAAGAGGTCTGGGACTTTAGTTCTCTTCCATCTCCCATCACAACCTTGTTTGTCCTTTCATTGCTGTCCATCCTCTGCAACTAGAGATATTTCCAAAAAAAGCAAAACTGGATTCTTATTTCTCTTTTCTTTTTTCTGGTCTTAGACATTTGCCCAATCTTTCCAGGGTTTGACACTCTCATTACAGACTCACAGCACCGATGAGGTTGGGGAATATCTGGAGATGGTCCAGTGCAATCCACTGCTCAGGCAGGGTCACCTAAAATTGGATTCTCTGGGCCATATCCCAGAGGCTTTTGGATATCTCCAAGGATGGAGAGCACTGCTTCTATCACAATGAGCTCCAGCAATTTAATCATCTTCACAGCTCTTCCTTGTACTCGGTCCAGTAAGCCAACAGTTGTCTTTTACTGGGGAACCCACAGCTGGATGAAACACTCCAGATGCCACCACACTTGTCTTTAAAATAAAACTGGTTCTCCAGTAATTCTTGCATCAGAAAGCCAGGTTGTGGGACCTGCACCTGTCCTGGAGAGATGCTCACAACCACAGCTGTACTCATCTCTTCCCAGACTGGCAGACTGGCATGCTGCAGTGTGGGGAAGGGCAGCGCCCTCAGCCTGGGCCAGCCAAAGGGGGGAACCAGGAGGGAGAAGGAACAGGTTCGGGCTGCGGGGCTTTTGATGAGCCTTTGTTCTTCACACCAACAGCCGGGCAGGTCCCAAGGGGAATTTCTTGCTTCAGATTCCTTATAAATGCCAAGTCAGTGTGTGATAGATGGGCTGGAAGCTCCTCCCAGGATTCTCTCTGCAGCAGATCTCAGGAGCAGCCATAAAATGCCATTGCCACTTGGGCTGGGATAAGGCACAGGGAGGACAGCCTGGCAAGGAGCCGTTTGGGGGAGCCCTGCATCAGCCAGGCACCCCTGGGCCACAGCAGGGACAGAGCTGACAGACCCACCTTGGTCTTGCTGGGCACTGCTCTGTGCACACACCCCTTCCTCCTCCCACCCTCTGGACATGCGTGTACCCCAATAAACACCCCCTCCACCCAAACACCCCTCACACGTGCACTGCCACAGATACAACCCATGCACAGCCCTGCACGGGCTCACTCCTGCACTCCAACACCCCCACTCCTTCATCCCACACATGCAGTGACACTGGTGCAGCTGGATGGCAACACACATGGGAGGAAGGTTTGTTCAGAGAGCTGCCATGTCCCATGGCATGTGAACAGGGGCCCCAATCTGGGTGCCCCCAACCCACCTACCGCCTCCCAGCACCCTGCAGGAGCCCCAGTGGGGGCAGAGCAGGGGAGGAATAGGCACAGCCACCCAAGGGCAGTCTGGCACCTCAGTTCCTACCTGGGACACCTATCTTAGGGCTCCTTGGGGACCTTGTCAAATCCCAGGCACCTTGCAAATTCCATCCACACTATGGGAGATCTGAACACACCTGCCTCCTGTGCATCCCACTGCCCATGGACCCCGGGCTCTGGCTGGAGGATGGACACAAGGACACCTTGGCTAGAGAACAGCTGGAGCAGGGATAACCTGAGTTCACAAGAGAACGGAAGGGCCCCTAGAGCAGTGCTGACGGAGGGGTAGGGGGAGGCCAGGGGAAGGCTGAAGAAGCTTGAGGGGCTGCGGCGGGATAAATTCACGGGAGCAGCTGCTTCCAGAGCGGTTCAGACCTCGCACTGGGGATGGAGAAAGGGGAACGTAAATCAGGACGAGCTCCTCCGTGGTTGATCGCCTCGGGAAGGCGGTGGCTGACCCCCAGCAGCCCCGCGGTGCCCCCGGGGCGGTTCGGGGGCGGTTCGGGGGCGGTTCGGGGGCTCGGCCCCGGTACCGGCCCCGGGCGGGGCCGCAGCGACACCGAGCGGACGAGAAGCGCCACCGCCTCCCAAGCGCATCCTTCCCCCACCCGTCACACAACCATGGAATGGTTTAGGTTGGAAGGGACATTTAAAGGCCATCTAAGCCACCCTGCCATGCGTAGGGACACCTGCCACTAGCCCACGTTGTTCCAAGCCCCATCCAACCTGGCCTTGGACACTTCCAGGGATGGGGCAGCCGCAGATTCTCTGGGCAACCTGCACCACGGCCTCACCACCCTCACAGGGAAGAATTCCTTCCCAAAATCCCATCTAACCCTGCCCTCTGTCAGTCAGAAGCCACTCCTCCTCGTCCTGTCGCTCCAGGTCGTTGTCCCACGTCCCTCTCAGCTCTCTTGGAGCCCCTTAAGGTGACCCTGGAATCTTCCCCGGGCTGAACACCCCCTGCTCTCCCAGCCTGTCTCCATGGCAGAGAGGCTCCAGCCCTCAGAGCATCTTCATGGCCTCCTCTGGACTTGCTGGAACAGGTCCACCAGCACACGACCTCACACCAATCCACATCCAGCCCCAGTACACCTTGCTCCCTGTCTGCCCCCTTAGCACTGGACAGCCAGGAACCGCTGCCATCGCCATGTACTCCCCCAAAATACATGTCCAAGCTGCATTGCTGTCTCAGGTGGGTGATGTGACCCAAGGCGGGGCAGGAGCATCTACTGAGGATAGTCATATCTGCATCACAGTGCTTTGACCATCTCTGCTCCATATCACAGGTGTATCCACCTCCTGAGGGATGAGCAGCCCTTTCCTGACAAGGCATGTCCTCAGCCTCTGATCATCCTCTTGATGGCAGAACACATTCAGCAAAGCAGGGACAAGAGACCTGCACAGCCAGGTTGTTGGAGCTTTTCTTCCCTTTCTGGGGAAGAAAAATAAATCTGTTCTCTCCAAAATTCAGAGGAAAGGAGGTGCCACAGTGCTCCCTGGAGGGAAGGAGAGGAGAGCAATCCCACATCAAGTTTGGTGACGATTTTTCCAAACTTACATGGGAGCAGGTTCATCGCTCATCTTCAACCTGCTTTTTTTCACCTTGAATTAGCTGCCTTTCTCTTAAAAAAAAAAAACATAAAGACATATTTTTAGTAATGCAAAAAAGGTCTAAATTCTTGAAATTACTCAGATCCAATCTCCTTGTACAGCTCTTTCTCCACAGGTGAATTTTTGGTCAGCCTTTGGCCTCAGCATTTGGGAGCTTCCTAGAGGAGTGACCAGTGGGGTCCCTGTGGATTGTTGTGGGGTCCCTCCTGCTCAGGACATGGCACAGCCAATGAAGGTCCTTCTGCAGAGCTCCTCAAGCCTTGCAGGGATGGTTTGGCATCCTCCTGACAAGGCCTGAAAGTAGGAATTCAAAGGAGGGAGATGGAGTCACACCAACCTCCAGCATGTCCCTTGTTAAAAGCAATCTCATGTGCATCCCAGCCAGCCGGGAATGCATGGACACAGAGTAGCAGTTTGGTTTTGATTTCCAGTAACCAGAGCTTGCAATAAGATCCCAGCTCCTCCATCAAGTCGTTTATCTGGGCTGTGTCAGGGTTGTTCTGGTGCAACCATGGATGTGCAGCATCTGCTGTGGACAAGCAGCGAGAGGATCAAAGCCTCTGGGCCACCTCTGGGAGTGGGATGGGGTGATGGGACAACCATTCCCACAGGATGCAATGCCACTGCAGTGTCTGCTTCTGGAAAATCCACAGTTCCAAGGACAAGGAAAACTTGGGAAACCCCAGAGAAAGTCTTGTGTGGTGGTGTTAACATCACCCCTTACACTGGCAGAGCCCAACCTGGCTGGAGCGGAGCCACAGAGCAGCTCTCGAAAGCACAAAAACAAAAGTGTCAGCACAAGGAACAACCTTTGCTGGGTCTGTCTGCCAAGTCCCACCCGTATTCTGTCCAGCTTTATCCTTAAGGCTGGAAAGTTTCCATCCTGGAGTCTTTTTCTTTCTGAGTTCCAATGCAAGGCATCACGGCCGGAGAAACAAAAATTGCTGGAGCTGGGGCAGCCAAACACCCCGAGCTCTGCTGGGGGACATTGCCCTTCGCTGGAGTGGCAGATGAGCTTTTGGAGAGCAAGCTCACTTTTTCCAGCTGTATCAGCAGCTGTATTGAGAGAAAATTACTTTAGCCTGCATGAAGAAAAAAAAATCAGTCACTCCAGTGGAAAGCTGTCACATCGCCAGCTTGTGGAATAGGGACTTGGAGTGTTGCCTTCCCCTGTCCCCAGGAGAATCTGCAGAAATTTGGCCAGTGACATTGAAAATTATTTGAGTTCTCATACAGTTAGGGTGCAAGTTTTGGTGGCAGCTGCTAGCACCATTGTCCCAGGCCCAGTGTCCCCTGGTTGTCCCCTGTGGAGCGCTCTGCAGAGCTCTGAGCTGAGCTCTGTCCTGGGCTCTCTCCCGTCCTGCGGTCCTGGAGTGGCTGTCGTGGCTGTGGGACAGCAAGACTTGGGCTCAGCGATGGCAGAGCTGTGGGGGCCTCTGGCATCTCCAGATGAGCCTCCCCCATGGAGGAGCATTAGATCCAGTCACGGCTTGAATCCCTCCCAGGGAGGGATGTTCCCTTGATATTTCCCTGGGCAATGAATTAAAAAATTACATATAAAACTTCAACAGGTTTTCCCCTTCCCTATGGACACCTCAGGAGCACAAGGAAAAAAGGTACATTTTTCCTTTCACTGGAAGAGAAATACAAGTGCCACTCAGTGCTACCTGCTTGCAATTAAATACACGGAAAACTAAGACGCAAAACCAAGTGACACTTTGAAAAAGACAAGTATCAATTGGCTGCTGTGAGCTGAGAATAGACCTGAAAAAGCCTGAAACCCTCATCCAACCAGGAGCCATCTCTGGCAATGGCCATCCAGGCTCTGCAACCAAAGGGGCTCTGCTGGGGCTGCAGCAACCCTTGAATCAATCAGATTTTGCTATGAGATACCTCTGCTTCCCGAGGCACAGCAATTAAGAGCCTATTTTTAGATAAATGAGTCACTGCATTAATCAATAAGGAGCATCCAGGTCCTCGAGGGTAAGGGGGGTTGGAGTTGGTCTGCTACAGTGTCAGGAGTGCTGCTTAGCCCCAGTCCCACGATGTCTGGCTGCCTCCCAGTTGCTGCAGAGAGCCCTGCCCCATGCCCCCAGCTCACTGCGATCCCACATGGAACTTGGGGATCTTCATCTCTGTTGGCCTTCCCAGGTGATGCTCCTTGCAGGCAAGGGTGCAAAAATGAGTAGGGGGCTCCCCAGTAACATCACCTGGGAGGAAGCTGAAGGTTTGGGGGATGCTTCTGGCCAGCTGTACTCGGAGGCGGCTGGCCCTGGGGGACTCCCTGGTTCAGGTCTCAGCAGCAGCTCTTGATGGGGGCAGGAGGGGCACAGCCAGCCCCCCACCGCATGCTCCTGCTGTCCCTGCCAGGGCTGGCCCCTTCTGCTTCCCACCCATCTCCTGGAGACACACACCCCTGCTCCGCCTGGGAAGCAGAGCCAAGCAGCTCCTTCCCTGCTGCTTTCCCAGGAATGTTCCCCTAGCACGAGGTGTTTAAATCATTTACAAAGGGCTAAAATAGGGTTGGCTCCCTTCCAGGTGCTCTGACATACAGGCTCTGTAAACAACTCACCCGCCAAGGGAGACAGCCTGGAAAAAAGGCTTTTTATGTCCGTTCCCCAGACCACACTTACACAGAAACCTTCCAGCATGATCCTTTCTCAGCTGTAAGAGCAGCAGAATTGTTTCAGGTCTTTGCTGATCTTCCTTTTCCCCAAGGCATACTTGTGGACATCTCAAATGACTCCCTTCTGCCAGGGAATAAAAAAACAGAAGGACCCTCTGCAAAAAAAGTAATTAGCTAATATGGGAAGTCTGATGTGCCTTTCCCTGCCTTGACTATTTCCTAGATGCCCTTTCAGGGAAAATTTTCCCAATATTTTAATAGCGTTGACCTTTACGGAGACAGGAATTCACCTGGGTATTTTCTCATGGCTGCTGAGCTGTGCCAGACCCAGGAACTCACAGGTGGAATCAAGAGGACATTTATTTCTTAGGCTGCAATGATTCACCAAAAATCATTGGGGTGCAAGTGGAAAGTGCCAGGGATCACAACCCAGCCCAGCTTTCAAAATCTGGACCATGCTGGGAGACCAAGCTCTGGGATGACCAGGAGATCAGCTGCAAGAGGAGCCATCCAGCCTCCCTTTCTTCTGCAGGGTCTGTGGCAACTCTGAGCTGTTCTCTCTGGTGCTCCCAATCCACAAAGAACAACCAAGGAGCTGGAGCTCTCATCCTGTGACCCCCGAGGTGACCAGCAAGTCCTCAAAACTCCCTGCTCTGATGCAAGGGAGGCAGGACACAGGCTGCTGCAGCCTCAACTGACGGCGCCGTGCCAGGATGGGAGTCATCCCAAACCCTACGGCAGCAGCTTAACCTCCTGGGGCCTCTGCCACCTCAGGTGGAAAGGGAAGGACATAGTTCTCTCCTGGCTGTGGAAGGGCAGGCTGGCTCCTCCACTACACTGCCAGAGCAGAGCCTAGTGTGCATTGTACTATGGCACAAGCCAGAGCCACCCCTGGGAGGGTGACAGGGAGGAGTTAGAGAACCAACTCATCATCCAAACACACCCCATTCTAGGGCTAGGAGCTCCTGTCACCCCACAGGGGTTTATTCCCTCAGAGTGGGCATTAGTAGATCTGGGGTTCTCCCTGAAGAGTTGCACAGCAGGAGATGAAGCATCTTGTGAAGAAAAAGAACCCTCAACCAGATGGGGAGCCATGGGCAGCTGCAATTTGGGAAGCAGCATCCTCATGTCCACCTTCTCTTGGATTTTCCCAGTGGGTCCACATCAGATTCTGACCCATCCAGCTCCTGCCACCCCATCACCTCCTGCTCCAAGGAGCACATATGGCAGAGCCAGATGCCAGCTGAGGATCCACCCTGCTCCTCACGTTGACAGGGTGTAGATGCCCTTCCCAGCCTGGCCTGGGCTGGAAGCAATTTGGTAGTGCTCATGCTGGGCATGAGTCAGGAGTATGATCAGTGTCAGGAATACCCCGAAGAAGGACCTGAATCAGCACTCTTTAGGGAAACCTCAGAGGAAGGATGCTGGGAACACGGGGTGCCCGGAGCAGCCTGGATTGCTGGAGCAGGCAGGGCTGGAGGGCTGGCAGAGCTATGGGATAGCAAGGACAGAGCCCCAGTCCCGAGGATGGGGCAGGATTGCCCCTACGTCAGCACTGGGCTACAGGAAGAAGACAGTGAGGGTAAATAGCATTACCACCAGACTCCAGGTCCTGGGCCCATGCCTGCTTCTGCTGAAAGGCAGGAGGAGCGATCACCTCGCAACTCTCACTCCCAGATGCTGTGAGCAGCTGCTGTTGCTCCTTGCCATCTCATTTTTGTGGTGTCAAAAAAGCCTCTGCCCAGCACCGGCCCATGAAATATGCATGGCATGGCCTCCCCCTCTGAACTGCCATCCCCTCTGTGCCAAATTCCCTCCTCTTCTATTTGTCTCACATTCAAATATACTTCTTCACATCTTATGGCTTCTCAAGCCATACATAACCACTTCTCTTGGATTTATTGCCATCACTGCTGTGGCCCAGAGTGCCCATGGAAGGACTCAGATGCATGTTATTCAGCCTGGGGCATGTTCCCTGTATGGGATACAGCAGCACAGTTGTGCTCATGGTGTGTGTTCCAGCCATGGGCTGCAGGCACTGTGACAGCTGGAGCAGACCCTGAGTGTGCACTATCCCCTCTGTGCCGGCAGCATCTGCCTGGGCATGGTAGGGATGGGGACAGTGGTCTGAGGGCATAAAGTCACAGTCAAGGGGGATTAGGAGCTGGGGGTCAGTGCTCTGCAAGGCCACGGTGCAGTGACCCATGGGGAACCTTGGCATGGTCCCCACAGCAGTCTGGAGCATCCCTTGTTGGTCTCCCTACCATCAACAGAGCTGCTAGCTCAAGGATTTCCTCTGCTTTGTGTACCACCATCATATTTCACTTTCAGCAAGAAATGGCTTTTTTACATTTCATCTCTGCATTTGAATCTGAGACTCGTTTCTCCAGAAACTCAGACCTGGTTTTGCACCACAAAGCCCCAGTCCCAGCCGGATGTTTGAGGCTGCAGCTCTGCTGGCACAGCAGGCAGCGCTTGGAAGCTTTCCCTGCTAAGACCATGCAAGTCTTTCCCAGGGAAGATTGGTGCCATTAGAGCCTTTGAAGGGAATTTTCTCTGTAGCACCTGGCTGAGAAACGAGGTTTGAACTGCAGCCCAAGACTTCACGTGTGCAGCCTCGTCACAATGAGGAACTTCAGGTGAATTTTTTCGCTCTAAGTATCACGCAACAGTTAACACAGCACAGGGAATGTTTTGAAGGAAGTGGATGCTTTTCCAGAGCTTTGTACCCACCTCTGTCAGGGGCAATGCCACTGTCTGGCTATCACCCTGGAAGGACAAGATGTTCCCAAAGAAAAGCTTGCAAATGAGCTCAGGGAATCCCCGTGGTTTCACTGCAATGTCAGTGCTGGAGAGGGGAGGAAAAACAGTTGCAGGGACTAGTTTTCCCAGCTCCTGCCTGCGCTGAGCATTCCTGGCACGAGATGTCACTGAGGAACTGGATTTGGGCAGCTCTACATCAGCCCGGAGTCATCCTCCAGGAGCCACTGTAAACAGGGACTGGAGAGGTGGCCAAGGAGAAGGAACACAGAAAGAGGATGTGGGCATAGAGAAGGGACGAGGGCAAGGAGAAGGGACATGGGCACAGAGAAAGGATGCAGCTGTGATGCTGCTGTGAAACAATCCTCTGAAAAGGAAGGGAGGTATCTGCTTTCTGCTCTCCTAGGCCGAACCGGGAGCGTTTCTGGCCTCAGGGTGTCAGGGAGGTGCTGAGTGATCTCTGGAGCTCAGCACTGGGTGTGCCGGGGAGGAACAGCTCAGGCAAACGCCTGCCAGGAACACAGCAGGCACTCAGCCCTGCCTGGGAAGATCCCGAGGCCCTGCCAGTCCTCTCTGGGGTTCCACAGAGCAGACGAAACCAAATAGCCCCAGCCCACACTGAGGGAGCCAGCCTGACGCCTCAAGCACCCCAAGCACCCCAGCAGCCATGAACCCAGACCAAATGAGTGTGGACTCAGGTGAAATCCCTAAATTGTTCATGCACAGACCTGGAGGAGCAAGCGCAGGGGCTCAAAACATCTCTCCCGTGACAGGTCTCCCAGGTCTGAGATCCCCTCCCCAAGGGTCACTCAGCTCTGTGGGCTGGACATGCCACAGCCTGCCCCAGGGTTGGTCACGAGGGGACAGGGACCCTTTGGGGCATCATTTGGCCCTCCCTAGGGCTGCTCTGAGTGGTTAGGAGACCCCTGGCCCTGCGGGGTTGGCCCCACTTCTTCCCCAGGTCCCTTCCAGGAACCACTCCAGGGCTTCCTTGGAACTTTCATCACTCTCCCAACGGCACCTCCAAGGGCATGGGGCTCTCTTTGCCCCACTCCCAGCACTGCTCCAAGAAAGAAGGTTCCCTTCAGTCCCGGCAGAGGGCTCCCCTCGAGCTGCACCTGCACCTTCAGGCCCTTCTGGGGAGGGATGTGCACCCGGGACAGGCTGAGCCAAGAGGATGGGAACGGGGAAGGCACTGGACTGGGAGCTGCGGGAGAGGGGTGCACTGGGCAGGGTGGCTCCAGTCCTGGTCCTGGTCCCGGTGCTGGTCCCAGTCCTGGTCCTGATTCCAGTCGCTGTCCCAGTGCCAGTCTCGGTGCCGGTCCCATTCCCATTCCTAGTCCCGGTGCTGCTGCCGGTTCCTGTCCGGGTCCCAGTCCTGGTGCCGCTCCCGGTCCCGGTTCCAATGCTGGCCTCGGTGCCGGTTCCGCTTGCAGTCCCGCCGCCGATCCCGCTGCCTATCCCAGAATCCGTCGCAGTCCTGGCACCCGTCGTCGTCCCAGATCCGGGCCCGGGCCGGGGCGGGGCAGGGCCGTGGCGGCGGGAGCCCCGGGGGCGGTGCCGGGCGGGCGGTACTTAACGCGGCGGCGGGCGGGGGCCCCGCCGTGCTCATGGCTCTCCCGAGAGCCGCCCGGGCGCTCCGCGCTGCCGTCCGCCTGTGCGACCCCTCCCGCCGCCCGCGCTCCGCGCCCGCCTCCGCTCCCCGCGGGGCCGCGCCGCCGGCGGGCAGGGGACCCCGGCCGGGGCCGCCTCCTCCTCCGCGGGGCGCGGAGCGGGACCCGCCGCCGCCCGCCGTGGATTTCGGGGACCCGCGCGAGGCGTTCCGCAGCAAGAGCAACGCGGAGCTGCTGCGGGGGCTGGTGGTGCTGGGGCTGTGCGCCGTGGAGCCGCTGGTGCAGCACAACCGGGAGGTGGGTGGCGGGGGGGGGCTGGCTGGGGGGATCGGGGAGACTGATCTGGGGAGTGTTTGTCCCCGGCTGGTGGGGAGCTGCCGGCTCTGGACCGGCGAGGCTCTCTCTCCGGAGCCGCCCGCTCAGGGAGGTGTCAGTTCCTTTCTGGGGGGGTTCTTGCTCCGGGGAGTCCCTTTTTGGGGATGCGAGTCCCGCGATGGGAACTGCCCTTTCCGGAGATGCCGGTGCGGGTTGGGGGTTCTCTCGCTCCGGGGGTGCCTGCTCCAAAAGAGTGTCGGTCCTGGGCCGGGGGTCTTTCGCTCCGGAGGGTGCCTGTTTTGGAGGATGCCGCTGTGAGCCGGGGGGCTCTCTATCCAGGAGGTGCCCATTTCGGTGGGTTTCGGTCCCGGACCGAAAAGGCTTTCGCTTTGAGGGATGCCAAATTTAGGCCGGGTGAGCTCTCGCTCCGGGGGTACCCACTTTGGGGGGTGCCGGGATCCTGGGCCAGGGGGTGCCGCTCCAGGGCTGGGGGGGTGCCCGTTTCGTGG